GGTTCCTAGCCACTCACCTGCCTGCCTGATCGCCCTTAACCTCACTGCCTGCCTGATCACCCCTAACCTCTCTGCCTGCCTTCCTGGTCACCCCTAACTGCCTCTGCCTGCCTGATTGCCCCTAACTGCCCTCCCTTGCTGTCCTGATCTTGCCCCCGACTGCCCTTCCCTGCTAGCCTGGTTGCCCCCAATTGCCCTTCCCTGCCGGCCTGATCTCGCCCCTAACTGCTCTCCCCTGCTGGCTTGATTGCCCCTAACTGCCCTCCTCTGCAGGCCAATTTGGTTCTGATTGGTCAGTTTCTATGCCAGTCAGCATCAAAAGCTCCACCTCCTAGGCAGCCATTGGCTCCTCACAGTTGACCCAGATTTGGTTCTGATTGGTCAGTTCCTATGCCAGTCAGTGTCTCTGGGCCTATCAATGGGGCCTGATCAGAAAGGCGGGGCTGATCAGCAGCCGAGTGGAGGCCTGGAGAGAAATGGCTGTTGGCCAGGCCAGGAGAGAAAGAGGCAAGTTCTGATCAATGGCTGCCCCAGAGGCTACGGATGAGACCCTGCCTCTCTCTGCAGGCCTCTCTCCGGGCCTGACCCGCAGCCCCCTAGGCAGTCAGTGCTGGGTCTGGGCGGTCAGTGCTGGGTGACCACGGCAACCCAGGACTGACTTCTGGTCTGGTGGAGCCTTCGGTCTTAATCGGTCATTATGACCCTGGCTCTTTATATAGATTACTTTTTACCCTTATGGACACTGGCTATAACTTCTGATACAATGTTTCCCTTTCCGTGACCCTCGGGTCTTTCATCATTAAAGATGATATTGGCTGTAGGTTTTTTCATAGATGCCCTTTATCAAGTTAGTTCCCTTCTCTTCAATTTTCTGGGAAGTTTGTGTAGAATTGGTACTATTTTTTCCTTATGTATTTGGTAGAATTCCCCAGTGAAATCATCTGGGCCTGGTGCTTGTTTTGTGGGAAGGATTTTAAACGACAAATTCAACTTCTGTCATAGACACAGGGCTGTTCAGGTCGCCCGTGTCTTTCTGGGTGAGCCCTGGTCGTCTTTGTTTTGTAAGAAATGTGTCTCTTTCATCTCAGTTGTTGAGTTTATTGATGGGAAGTTGTCCGTAATATTCCGTTTATCTTTACCACCTGTGCTGCTGTCTCGCCCCTCCTTCCTGATATTGGTGGTTTTTAACTTCTCTTTTCTGTTTCACTAGGTTTACTCATGTTATTGCCTCAAAACCCAGCTGTCAGTTTCCTTGATTCCCCTCTATTCCTGTTTTGTTTCCCATTTCATTGATTCCTGCTCTGATCTTCCTTATCCCCATTCTCTTACTTTGAGCTTTCTCTTTTTTTTCTCGTTTCTTAAGGTAGCAGCTGAGGTCAATGCTTCAAGACCTCCTTTCTCTTTTTCTAACAAAGGCACTTAATGCTACGAATTTCTCCCTAAGTACTGCTTTAGCTGCATCTCTCAAACTTGAATATCTTAAAATTTTTATTCAGTTCGAAATACTCTCTAATTCCCCCAATTATTTCGAAGCTATTATTTAGTTTCCTAACATTTGGGGAATTTCCAGATTTTTTTTTCTTTTTTTCTATTCACTTCTAATTTCATTGTGTCAGACAACATGTTGTCAATGTCTGAATCCTTTCAAACCTGTCGAGTCTAATTTTATGGCCCAGAATATATGTTGACAAGCGTTCCGTGTGCACTGGAAGAGAACGCGTTCTGCTAACACGGTGGAGTGTTCTGTGATGTCCAAGAGGCCAGGCTGCTTGCAGTGTCGCTCAAGACCCCAATACCTCACTGGGTTCTCGTCTCTTGGGTCCGATAGGCACTGAGGAAGGGGCCCTGCAGCCTGTGATTGTGGATTTGTCCATCCCCGTGAGTGCTATGGCCTTGGGCTTTGTGTATTGTGAAGCCCTGGGTCATCCGTGTGGACAGGAGCGGGGCCCTCGGCTGGGCTCATGTGGACTCAGTCACCTGGGGAAATGGTCTGGCTGGTTGGTCAGAACCTGGGGGGCAGGACTGCGCTGCCTGGAGGGGGTTGCAGGTGGACACAGGGAGTTTGCGCTCATGTCCCGAGACCACGTGCACTGGCGGCATCGAGCCACCCACGGCCGAGGACTTGAACCCGGGCACGACCAGGGCAGTCCAGGTGCACGGGCTGACTGCACAGCTCCCTCTCCCAGCCCAGCCCATCAGCCTCCCAGCCGCCAAAGAGACACACAGCTCCCTCTCCCAGCCCAGCCCATCAGCCTCCCAGGGGCCACAGAGACACACCGACCAGCAGCTCAGCGGGAAATTGAGCGCTCCAGGCTCGATGCTGGCCCGGGTGCCTCAGTCCACAGTGTGGGTTCCTGCAAAACAGACGCCCAGCAGCAGCCGGCAGAAGGCTGGGCAGCTCTTAAAAAGGGGGCGTCCCATAGGACCGCAGCACTGTCTCTTAGGCCGTGGGCGCTACCCTGAGTCGTGGCCTTAGGAGACAGGAACCAGGGAGTGGGAGGTGAGTGGCCCGACACGAGGACCCCCGTGCACACGGGACAGGGGTTTCTTGTCCCTGTGACCTTAGGCTGTCAGAACACAGCCGTCCTGCCCGGCCGTGCGGCTCAGCAGTTGAGTGTCAACCCAGGAACCAAGTGGTCACGGTTCGGTTCCCGGTCAGGGCACAGGCCAGGGTTGCAGGCTCGATCCCCAGTAGGGGGCGTGCAGGAAGCAGCCAATCAATGATTTTCTCTCATCATTGATGTTTCTCTCTCTCTCTCTCCCACTCCCTTCCTCTCTCAGATCAAAAACATATAAAAATAAATAAAATAAAAACCAATAAAAACACATAAAAAAAAAAAACACCTGAAAAAACAACAGTTCTAATTCGAGGAGGAAAACACTGCCGCCCAGGACACAGTGAGGGCGTGTCTCACTCAACTCTCAGCGGCGGCTGCCACCGTGGCGGCTCCTGTCCCGGGGACCACAGGCCGAGGGGCTGCCACCCTGGCAGAGAGACCCTGACCGCCACGTGGAGGCAGCCGCTGCCCGGGGCACCCAGTGCTGCCCACCAGCTGTAAGCGGTCACGGAGCAAAGAGCCCGCCAGGGACGTGGCCACCAGCACCCAGACCCAGGGCGAGTGTCCGGTCATGGCCCGCCCTGGGCACAGCAGGTGGACATCCGTGGTGCCTCAGGCCAGCGGCTCCGTGGGGCTGTGGCTGCCCCTCAACCCCCCTCTTGTAAGTTTTCCCAGGAAGAATCCTGCCGACGCTGGAATTATCGGAATGTGAGGGGCCAGTGGACCTGAGGGGCCAGGGTGCCGGCCACTGGGGTTCTTGACCGCATCCTTCCTAGCAGGTCCCCTTGCCGGACAGGGACCGACTTACCTCCAGGCAGGGGGGCAGGCGAGAGGCCAACTGGTACAGGGTCAGGTGACACCCCCTTTGAGTAAGTGCCAATCGTGCACCCAGCTAAGGGGCTAAGCAGTGATGCGTCCCCACCTGGAGGGACAGCCTGGCCCCTGCCCTGCCCCTCACCTTGTCTCCTGCTCGGGGCGGTTCAGTCTGGGTCTCTCCTGCCCGAGATGTGACCCCAGGGCCGCGTCTTGGCCAGAGCCCGGCTCCAAACCCCGGGCCAGGGTGCAGGGGCCAAGCTCTGAGCCGAGGCCCGCGGCGCCCCCTGCACCCCAACACACACCCGACCCCAGGACAAAAGAGAGGAGACCCACAGGAGGTGGAATTGCTTTTATTGGGGTGGGCGCCGCAGGCCCGCCCGTGGTCAGGTTAGTGTTCTGCCCTGAGGCAGCCGGCAGCCTGGCGCCTCCCCCACCGCCCACCCGGGTTAGTGGAACATGCAAAGCTGAGTCAGAGGGTGGAGGCAGGGGGGAGCCCCCGAGGCCGGGGCTGGGTGGAGCAGGAGGGTGGGCCCCGCTGGGCTGCTGAGTCAGCGCCGACAGTCCATCCGGCATCCCCGGGCCCAGCGCAGGGCTGAGCTCCCGGAGAGGCGGGCGGGCGGGCGGACAGCACCCTAGGCAGGACTCGAGGCCCAGGAGCCACGGGCCCCGGAGAAAAGAGCCCGCAGAAGTCCCAGCCGTGCCCAGCCAGGGCCAGCGGCCCCAGGTGCACCGGGAGGCCCGTCTCGCCCCAAGCCGGGGCCCTCGGGGCCGGGTGTGCGAGGAGAACACAGAAGGCACTTTCTAGGAGCAGAGGCTGAAGGCAGAAGCCAGAGGCCTGGGGTCTCAGGAGAGGGTCGGGGGCTGGGGCTGGGGGCTGGGGGCAGAGCCCAGGCAGCTGGACCCTCATCTTCCCTTGGGGAAGACCCCTCCTTCTTTCCCGGGGGGAAAAGGGGCTGGCTCCGGGATAAATTTGAAAGAAAACGGTTGAAAACGGGAACCCGCCTTCCCTCCCCCTTAAGGGCCCATTGAGCCCGGGGGTTCAGCCCTTGGAACCAAAATGAAAAAAAGGCCCA